TGTTTAATTAAAACAAAGCATTGCGATGGCTGGTGACTGGTGTTGACGCAATGTGATTTCTGCCCAGTGCTCTGAATGTCAAAGTGAAGTAATTCATCCAAGCGCGGGTAAACGGCGGGAGTAACTATGACTCTAACATCATGCAAACCTAAGAGGAACGTGGCTAATGTGCAATAGGCTCTAAAGGCTTAAACACAGGATTGTTTTGAAGCCGAGCCAGTCCGGTGCAAGAAAGATCTGCAGAAAGCAAGAAAGATCTGCTCGGGCTAAGAACATCAACAGAGTCTAGTGCATATCGAGTTCTATTTCCTATTTCCACCAACCAACCTGACCTCCTCGCGGTGCCTAAGGTTATTAGCCTAAACGTGTACGCCCGATTATTATTAAAGGTAGCTCTTTTTGGAGCTACACGTTTTAGGTGAAGCTAACAGGTTGGTGCTTCAGCATCTTGCAGCCAGTTTATAAATCAAATTCCATAAAAAAAAGCTTCATCTCAGTGAAGTTTCTGGCTGCCTCTCTAAGTCTACAGTTGGAAATCCTTTTAAATAATGTCTGTTCGTTGTGAAGAGTGTGGCGGTAGTTTTAAATCTGGAGGTGCCTTGGCGAGCCACATTAAGTGGAAACACCCAAATGTTGGTCAGCCGAGGCAGGAGGTGGTTAGTGAGGTGAAAGTGTGTCCCGATTGCGGAGTTGGCTTTAAAGGCGATAGGGGTCTAAATGGTCACCGTCGCTCGGCTCACCCAGATGTGTACCATGCTGCTAGGCAACCGGCAGCTAGGGTGAAAGCCAGGTGGTCCCATGAAGAGTTGGTCCTTATTGCCCGTGCTGAACTGGAACTCCGTAGAACTAAACCCCGTCAGGGGATTGTTCGTGCTCTCCACTCTCGGTTTCCTGATCGATCTTTTGAGGCTATCAAGTGCGTGCGAACTAAGAACCCGCGCTACAAGGAACTCCTTGTTGCACTTGAGGCTGAGGAGGCCGTGAGGGAGTTTGCTGAGATGGAAGCAGCGGACTCTTCCAGATTTCAGCCGGGTGTACCCTCTCCTTCCTCTGATGGGGATGTGGGATGGGGCGATCAACTCCGAATGTCAATTAACATCGAACACTTAGGTGTGGATAGCCTGGACTGGGTGGTAGAGGGTTGCCCTGACCAGCGTGTCCGGAATAAGCTTGATGAGGTGTTTGCGTTGTGGGTTGGTCATCTTGCGCGAGGGGAGAGGGCGCCTGTAAGGGACCCCCAAACCTCCGCAAGTAGTACTAACCCTGATCGTTCTAGTTCGCTAGATTCACGACGACGTAGACGGGCGCAGTACAGTGCTATTCAGCAACTGTACAGTCGCAAACCATCCGCGTGTGCGCATAAGGTGTTGGACGGGTCGTGGGTGAATCCAAATCCTGGACCATCACCTACTCTTCAGCAATTCTGTGATACCTGGCAGCCGATCTTTGAGACTCCATCTATCAAAGATAGCAGACGGCCGACCTGCATTGGTCAAGTACGGTGGGACATTTTGCGTCCGGTTACTCCGGAAGAACTTAAACCGGTGTTAACTGAGGGTGCGTCATCAGCACCTGGCCCGGATGGGGTGAAGTTGAAGCAAGTCATTGGATTGGGGATGGAAGAGCTCTGTAGCCACTACAATCTATGGCTACTATGTGGAAGTCAGCCTAGTGCTTTGTGCACAGGCCGTACAATCTTTCTTCCAAAGGGCTCTGAGTCTAGTGACGCGCTTAAGTACCGTCCAATAACCATAGCCTCTCACATATTGCGAGTCTTTCACAAAATCATGGCTCGTAGATGTGATGCGATCCTGCCCCTGAAACATACGCAGAAGGGGTTCAGGCGTGGTGACGGGATTGCTCAGCACGTGTTTACGCTGCAGTCCATCATTGATGGGGCCAAATCTGAGCTCAGGCCCCTCAATTTGGTGTTTCTCGATGTGCGTAAGGCTTTTGATTCGGTCAGCCATGACACCATTGTTCAGGCAATGCGTCGTCTTGGTTGTCCTGATCCGTTCCTTGCGTACATTGGAGAATTGTACTCGCGGTCAAGCACTGTGTTGGAGCACAATGGGGAAAAGAGTGCAACGATCTTCACCCGCAGAGGGGTCAAGCAAGGTGACCCACTTTCGCCGTTCTTGTTCAATGCTGTTATAGACTGGGCATTTTCGTCACTTGACGACCATTTGGGGTATTCGTTTGGCAATATTCGGGTGAATAACCTTGGATATGCTGACGACGTTGCTTTGTTAAGCGAGACCAAAGCTGGACTCCGGGTACAGCTAGGGAAGTTCGAGTCACACTTGCTAAAAGGTGGCTTGGAAATCAGTGCAGGCACTGATGGTAAATCGGCTTCCATGAGTATAGCGGTCGACGGCAAGGCAAAGCGATGGGTGATTGATCATACCCCATTCCTGGCGACTAACAGCGGACTTATTCCATCTATGTCCGCTACTGGGGAGTACAGGTACCTGGGGATAATGTTGGGCGCAGGCGGGGCGAAAGTGCGTGGGTCCTTGCGGAAAGATCTAGTGCAAGGCCTTGGGAATATCTCCCGCGCACCTCTTAAGCCTCACCAACGGTTGGTAATCTTGAGGAATTTCTTGATGCCGAAGTACCTGCACGAACTGGTGTTAGCGCCTGTTGGCGACGGATGGTTGCGTTGGCTCGATACCACCATTAGGGCCAACGTTCGTCAGTGGTTAAAGTTGCCAAAAGACACTCCGATTGCTTTCTTCCACGCAAGGGTTGCGGATGGCGGCCTAGGGGTAACCTCGCTCCGGTATTCAATACCGGTATTGAGGAGAAACCGCCTCGAAGCCGTCTGCTCGGCAGTTGACCCCCTATCTCGAGCCCTAGTCGATTCATCTTTCTTTCAGGAAGCTCTGAATCGACTACCCAGTAAGATCTTGGATGGGCGTTTGGTGACGGACAAGCAGTCTTTAGCCCAGGCTTGGGCTGCAAGTCTGTACACCAAGGTGGATGGTAGAGGTCTCTCTGAGGCGCGATCTTGTGCGGCTGCGAGCGGTTGGGTGTATAATCCGCCCCGTAATCAATCAGGGGCGAACTATATCGGTGCCATCAAAGCTAGAGGTGGACTGCTCCTCTCTAAAGTGCGTTCTGCACGTGGCGACCCAGGACGAGATGTATCGTGTGATTCATGCATGCGCCCGGAGACAGCTCAGCACATAGTTCAGGTGTGTCCGAGAACCAGTGGTCCAAGGATTAGACGCCATGATCGAGTGGTTAAGTTCGTTTCGGCTGCTGCTGAGCGGGCTGGCTATAAGGTCATGGTTGAGCCGAGGATCGTTGGTCGTACTCTGGGTGTTCGGAAGCCGGACTTAGTTCTTTGGAACGACAGGAAGGCCTACGTAGCGGATGTCACTGTCACCTCGGATCAGGTCGGGGGAGTTAAAGCACATCGTGATAAAGTCGCCTACTATGACCAACCAGAGATTCGGGAATGGGTCAGTAATCTTACAGGCGTGGCTGACATTTCCTTTTCCGCGGTTGCTGCCAATTGGCGGGGTGTGCTGTCATCTCTCAGTGCTGACTTTCTTAAGTCAGTTCTGAAACTCTCAAATTGGGACTTGTCGGTGTTGGGCCTCAGGATTTGCGAGGACACCTTCCATGTACATCGTTCTTTCGGAAGGTGCACCTATCGAGTTCGCTCTTAATGACGGATTTCTTTTTTTTCTTGGATTTCTTATTGTGGTATATATATAACGTCGGCCGGTTTGCGGGCCAAATGCTGAAGTTTCTTCTTTTTATCTTTTTTACCTTTTTTAATATTAAAGGGAATCTGTAAAATTTTGAGACTCTAGTAAATAAATAGCCAAATGCCTCGTCATCTAATTAGTGACGCGCATGAATGGATTAACGAGATTCCCACTGTCCCTATCTACTATCTAGCGAAACCACAGCCAAGGGAACGGGCTTGGCAGCAACAGCGGGGAAAGAAGACCCTGTTGAGCTTGACTCTAGTCTGACTCTGTGAAAAAACATGAGAGGTGTAGAATAAGTGGGAGGAGCAATCCGCCGGTGAAATACCACTACTCTTATCGTTTTTTTACTTATTCGGTGAAGCGGAGCTGGACCTCAACGTCCACTTTTTAGCATTAAGATCGCTCTTCTGCCGGTCGATCCGAGCCGAAGACACTGTCAGGTTGGGAGTTTGGCTGGGGCGGCACGACTGTCAAATGATAACGCAGGTGTCCTAAGGTGAGCTCAATGAGAACGGAAATCTCATGGAGAACAAAAGGGTACAAGCTCACTTGATTTTGATTTTCAGTATGAATACAAACTGTGAAAGCATGGCCTATCGATCCCTTAGTCTTTACGAGTTTTAAGCTAGGGGTGTCAGAAAAGTTACCACAGGGATAACCCAAGACTACCAACGTCACCAGTTCACGCCCAACCCTTCCCACCCTGCTTATTCAAGAACTCAGACGCTAAAGGTGCTCTTTTTTGAGACGGTCAAAGATGACATTATTTAACATCCTCAGTCTTTTTTCTAGCTTTGTAATGAATGGTACATGTTAGTTTACAGATACATTGGTCGGTAAAAAATTGAGATCAATCTTCTGGAAATAAAATTGTACAGAAAGAAACTTGTTCATTGTGGAAATGGTCCATGTATTGATGTTTGTTGAGTTCAAAATTACTAATGTAGTCTAGTAATATAATATAGTCGCAATATTATTTACTCAACCTATTGTAACTGGGGTTACATGATTTTCAAGCATTGGTGTCAACAGAATTAGATCTCGACGACGTCGGATACGAGACAGAGCAACATATGCTGAACCAGTTGGTAATTTGTTGCAATCAAACCATATTATTACAGTCTTCAAATTCATGCCTTGCGATTTAGTGATAGTTAATGCATATGAAGGCATTAAAGGATAACAGTACTTGACGACATTTTCCAAATTCTGGTAGGTAACTGGGTAGACTGCTACAATTTTTTCATTTGCGAGTTTGAGAAATATAGTTTCGTTTTCGATGCAATGTACTGTTCCTTCTTGGCCATTGACGACTCCGTTTGACTTATCGCGATTTTGAGTGATGATAACGCGCATGTTTTTGTATATTGGAATGTCAGTCGTTTCGTTGTCGCATTGAACATGAGCGAGAGGCACTTGGTGTGCAAATAGCCTGGCAATAACTGCCTGATTGACTTTGTGGCAAGCCCGTTTCGATACAGTTAAAACTGTTGAGTCCGGATTCTGTGAAACAACGTTGTATATTTCATCATCTGTGGGCTCAGATTGTTGGCATATTACGCGACCTTGCTGCATTTGATCAAGCAGTTGTTGTGTTGGTCGCCAATAACGGATATGTTGTATAAATCTTTCGTATTCTTCATCTAAAACTCGATATTGTTGCGTCAATTTGTAGTGTTCAACAATAGACATAAATCGTGGTTCGCTTAGAATACTTTCCACTTGACAGATTTGGCCGTCCATTGTTTCAATTGGTTGCTGTTGCTGAACATCACCAGCGAGTACAAGTATTGGTCGGATTGGAATTTGTTGCATTGTACGAATAATATGGTCAAATATCGTTTTGGGAATCATAGAAATTTCGTCTATTATCACAATGTCATATGAAGATATATTCCAGTTAATTGTAGGATGTTCATCAGGACTGACGGGAAAATGGAATGCGCTGTGCACGGTATCTGCATCTATCTTTGAACCAAAAATATTTCTGTATCGAGCAGCTAATATTCCGGTTGGGGCTGCAAGTAAAGCTTTACGCTGTTGTTCGAGGCATGTGGAAATTGTGTGACATATGGTTTGTGATTTACCTGTGCCATGTCGTCCAGTAATTAAAACAAATTTACGCCAAAACGTTTGGGTGTCGCGTGGGTTGTTATTGGCAGGTGAATCTTCATTATGTTCAGAATTGTTTTCGTCGTGTTCGTCATCTGAGTCTGTGTATAAATTGTCGTTGGTATAATATTCATCCCTACATTGCAGGAACAGGCTTATTCTCAAAAATATCATGTTTTGAAAATTATCAAGCAAATATGTGGTGTCAGAAGGACATTCACTATTAAGTTGTGTACTGCTAAGAACACGTTTTTGCCAAAGATACATCGTGTCATGAAGACTTCTGATGTAAGCACAAAGTGTTGCAACGTAGTACGATTTGTTACCTTGTTTTTCGAAATATTCTGATATACTAGGAAGATGATTCCAAAACGTGCTGTTTAACTTTACTGCACTTGCGAAAAACTTTATTCTGCACGGTAGTTCGTCAAGTTGAGGATGAAACAATTGAGCTGTTGCATTGTGAGGATGATTCATGAGTAAATGTTGAAAGAAATATTCATCATTAAATGGTGATACCATTTTGATGGAAACAAGGGTACTTCCGCTTTTGTATGGAAGGCAATTGGATTTAGTAGTGTCGACAGTTCGCAGCCACATAAGAAAAGACAAATTAGTCATTGAAATAGGCCTTGTTAAGTATTTAGCGTGAATTGTGTTATTTGCAATAGTTGAGGAAAGTGGCACAATATACTCCTTCGTTCTACTGCATGTCCACGACATTTTAATGCTGGTAAGATGCAACCACATTTCTGGTTCGCATGGTTTCATTTGTTTGACGTGGACGTACGCTGCTTGGTAAGGTGCAACATGTGTGGAGTACAGTGCATCGTTAGAGAACGCATCATGCCACTTGGAAACGTAAGATGTTACATAACGAAGTATCATTCCTTTGCCATCAGTTGTTTGTACATCCATTCTACATGAGAGTGTAGGCAGTATTGTCTCAATGTAACCGCGAAGGTTCATCGCAAACGATTCGGCAGGATGAGAAATTTGCAATACTTTTTGGTCATTTATAGTTTCGATTGAGGTAGGGTTGTTGTTTAGTGGCAAAACATCTTTATCCGAAGGTTGAAGCTTTTTCACTAAAAATGCCAATTGTTTGTTTTCATATGGTATGTCACCTCGTATAAGTTTGAACTGTGTTTCTGAGATGTTTTTTAACCATACCAAAAGATGTAGATGCACAGTTCCCCTTTGTTGAAACTCAAATCTGTAATAATACGTGTTAATGTTAGAAATTGCAGACCTATTTCCGTAACTTAAAATGTGTTTCTTCCAGGAAGATTGATTTGTACCTGTTAAGTAACCTCTGACTAATTGTTCAAGAACGTGAGCAATGTGAATTGTCTCAAATCCTGATAGAGCTGTAGGAGCTCGTCCAGTCATGTTACGAATGTTAGACAGCCATTTTGGAAATGGAAAAGTCCACTCGTATGGATTTATTGTTATGAATAAGGACGGGTAACCGAAT